CATACATACATACATACATACATACATACATACATACATACATACATACACACAGACAGACACGCAGGCAAACCAACAGACACACTTAGCGCGTTATACATAAGGAGGTGATAAGGCTCATTTGATTTCACGCGAAGTGACCCAGAATCGCTACTTGGAATTTCCTCTGTCGATAGCACAACAATGCATCTTTATCATTCTCCTGAGATCCCAAACTCGATCGTACGATCTCTAGTAGTATCCGCATACGCACCAACCACCAGCGGTGCGATCCTATATAACGACGTCTCCTCTAATACGGCTCAATGCATGGGTGACGATTTACGAGACAAAAGAGCCATTCTTGTTCTTCAGAAGAGTGGACTGTGTCTATTCTTTCACAAGGTTGGTTCAGCGTTCAGCGGTTTGGTTACCGAGAAGGAGTCTTTTTCTCTCTATGCACGCCAGCTCATTTCCATTCAGTGTACTCCTGTAATCGTTGCACAAAAACAAGCAGCGTATGATAAGCAAAATCGCTTTCATAAGCACAGATTGTCGAATATCTCACCTGATCAAGAACCGTTTTTTCAGCTGCGGTTCCCGATCTTTTTAAGGAGTCTTGTTTTCTCTTATCAACAACGTGAACGCCACTGCAACCAACTTTTTCAAGGAAAACCTGGTTGGGTACTTGGAAAACTCACTTAAGTTTTGAATTTGATTGAGAGTTTGTTACATCCATGATTTCATTGAGGCGTAATACTTTTATCTGTTCAGGAGGGTCTGAAAACTACCAGATCTTTTGTCCTCACAAAACATTCTCCAATCACTCAGAAAAAGACACATACATAATTCATTGTCGTCAGGACTCAGCGATTGCGTGCTCTGAGATGGAACAGCTAGTAGGGCAGGTGAACGATGGGTCTCCTTAGCTGTGTTCAAGTTTGATGCAATCTTTCCTGCCGCAGCCTTCGGAAGCTTTGAGTCTCCGATATCGCCGCCACCATGAGCAACATTGTCTTCTTGCTTCTTCAGATCCTGTAGTAGCGGCTTCGTGTCTCCTCCTTTTCCAGTATCCTTGCGTACCATGATCTAAAAAAATGAACCTTACTCCGAGAGTGAACCCTTTATAGGCGGGAAGCTCGTTATCAGATGATACGTCGTTCGGCTTATCCAGTGGAAAAACAATATTGAATATTCTCTCGATCTAAGTATATTATGTTTTACCAGTCGGACCGCCCGGCTAGCGGCAGGCTTTCCTCCTTCTTGTATGAAAGTTGGAAAGCCCGATTAGAGTTCTGCGCTTACAAATTCCGTACAAGTACTTCAACGTGAATGATGACAACACTCACTTTTGAAATGGATTCATGATACTTCTCGAACTTCTTCAGAGTGGATATAAAGCAATTCTGGGGAGCACTGTCTCATCGTTAGCAGGCAGGTTCGCCCGGCTAACGCCGAGCTCTCCTTCTCCTTCGACAAAGTTGCAGTGATCGGATAACTCTCTACTCCTTCTTTGACTTCACTCTTTGACAAATATTTCGAGTAGTGATCATACCATTANCAGATGTCATTATCAATGGACCCCTTTCTTTACGGAGATATCATTTATTGAGAATTCCAGATTATTGGTGGTCGGTTAAATTTGTCGCAAATGATATCGACCGAACAGGATTGTTCATCGAGTTTCAAACCTTGCTGGATAATCTAATCTAATAGCAAGAAATGAGCAAAATCCTCATCTGCTTATCGCAGTACCGGTAATGGGTCCCTATCACTGCACTCACCACTCTAGTCACCATACTCTACCATCCCGTCTTATCGCATGAAATATGCTGGACGGTTAAAGCAGCATCGTAATATAGAATGCACTAGGATTCAGTATTTACGGACGCTAAATAGGATTTCGGTCGGTAGGTGGCCTCTCCTAGGTCCCTTATCCTACTTTATAATAGGTTGATGTATAATTATTGCGAATTTTTCGCGGCTTCTTTTCTCTCCATACAATTTCAATATCGAAGTCAAAATTTCTATAGAAATAATCTACCCGCTTTCCTAGAAATAGAAATAGGTATAGAAAGTCATCTTCTACTCGCCACATTATGCTCTATTACTTCGAGAAATGATGGAAAGTGGCACACTCATTACGCTGGGATTTGCTCCTAAGTCTTCATATTGACCCACTTGAACCCTATAAGTTATCACTTCACCCATTTGTTGAAAGATTGGCTAGCAAACAGGCCTTACGACCGAATGGATGACTTGGTGGCCAATATCAAGGTGAGGATCGCCTCCAAGGACCGAAACTTCTTCGCCTGTGGAATCCGGCTGCCTAGCAAATNGTGTGTCTGTTGGTTTGTCGGTGTGTGTGTGTGGGTGTGTGTGTTTGACCGGAAATTCATAACTCCTGTTCCCGTGGACCTAGAAATCAAATTCTGTGGGAGTACAGGGGGCAGCACGGGAACACTTATGACAGGTGGTAGGACCAGACTCCACCCACAGCGGCAACACGTGCGCGATAAGAATTTTAGGTCGCAAATTCATAACTCCTGTTCCAGCGGACCCAGAGCGTTGGAATTCGGTAGGATCACAGAGGGCAGGATGTGGACTCTCATAGTGAGTGACAGGCCGGCTGACTGCTTTCATAGTCCGCAGGCACTCAAGCTGGCGGACTATGAACGCCGGCACGCTGGCACGCGCGCCGCCGGACTATGAAAGCAGTCATTCTACTCACAGGGGGCGGGGTTTGCGCGAAATGAATAGTTGAGCGGATATTCGTAACTCCTGTTCCCGTGGACCCAAAGAGTTTAAACTTGGTAAGATTACAGCTTTTCTATTAACACTGGCATTTGGGCATTTTAATAAGTGATGCAGGATATCACGGGAGCGCAGGTACTCGGTGTCAGCAACCGATGACATTTGATAAGAGAACATAAGAGCATAAGGGAGCAATAGCCACCTACCAATCAAAATTCGAACCCTTCGGTGTTTACGATGTAACTTTGACTGTTCAGTATGTTTCATTCGATAAGTCGGGATGGTAGAGTAGGGTGACAGACGTGAGTGATGAGTGCGGAAACCATTAGCGGCACTACGATAAGCAGATGAGGATTTTGTTCATTTCTTGCTGTTTGATTACGACCGCTACCCAGCAATATTTGTGACTCAATGAAGGATCCTCTTTGGTAAATATCATTTGCGACAAAACTTAACCGACCATCACTAATCTGGAATTCTCAATAAATGGTATTTCCGTGAAGAAAAGGATCTAGTGATAACGACATCTGATAACGTCGTTATCGTCACTCGAAACTTTTGTGAGTACGCCCATGGCTTAACAGTCGACTCTTTAATGGGTATTTACTTTTAAGAACGAGAGCAAGAGATCGAGATAGATCTAAAGATAGATAGATCTGAATTAATCCTGTGTCAAGTTTTGTGAACAGGAGATTATTATTTGTTTCAAAAAAAAAGAGTAGAGAGTTATCCGATCACCACAACTTTGTCGAAGAAGAAGGAGAGCCCGGCGTTAGCTGGGCGAACCGACTGGTATCGTCGGTTACTGTTATGGAGTACCTACGATCCCGACATATCCTACATCACCTGGTAAAACCTACAAAATTACTCTTCAGGTCCACAGAAAATGAAGTTACGAATTTTCGCTTAAACATTTGCCCGCGCTAATCCTGCCCCCTGTAGGCGGAGTCTAAACCTGCTACCTGCCATGAGTGTTAATATCCGGCCTCCTGTACTCCCATCAATTTTCACGCCTTGGGTCCATTGGAACAGGAGTTATGAATTTCCGGTCAAACACACCGACACATACACACACGCACACACACACCGACACACCAACAGACACACTTGGCGAATTATATGAAGTAGGATGTCTATAACAATGCCTTCATCTTGCTGCCACTACTCCTACCAATTCTGAACGCTGTAGGTCCACGGGAAGAGAAGTTATGAATTCCAGGTCGGACACACACACAAACGCACACACACCACAAAAACAAACACACACACGCAGACATTAGCGCGTATGTATAGTAGGATTCTTGAATGTGGAGGGAGGATGCGAGGTAGTGAGCCTTGCACATGTCGTATAATTAAGAATCGGAGGATCAGGTAGTGCGGACACACCACACTACCTTGCGAAATCTGGCCGGTGATATCGACTTAACTACTCGACAACTCGACATGGCAAACGAAGAGTAACTGTCGGTACTCATCAAAGTCCAGCATCAGTTACCGAGTTCACGAGGTTGACTTGCCGATCCAACATAACGTCAAGGTTCCTATATTGTTACCAGCCCTTCTCAAATTATGCATCGCAAGTAGTTTTTTGCTATCATTCATTCTATAATCCTATTCTCTCTTTTTTATAATGCGGTAAATTGATGTGTCGCTTTGTCAAATTGCCCGTTTGTCCGAACGTAAAACTTATGATTATGATAAAGGCAGTAATATGGAAAACCTGGCTCTGGTATACAATTCCTTCCTATATATAAACCTAACTTGGTAGTGGGCGGGATAATGGAGTAGAGTGAGTTCTGCTGAGAAAAATGAGTAAGGTTGTGGAGTGAAGTGGGCGTTTCACAACTGAGATTTCGATCTGTACCGGCATCGTGCTATGTATCTCTTTACAAAAATCGGTGATGATCATGTAGTTGGGGACCTCCGCTTTTTTTTCAACATAATTTCAACATAAGGAGGTTAGTCCATAATTGTGCTCTTTAACGTTTCTTAGCCGAGAACATACAGTTTTTTGATCTTAGCTATCTGGAAGCGGTACCGAGGTGGGTGACTCAACTGAATATTCAACTCAACCCAATCCTAGCTCTTTGCACGAGGTAACCATCCTATCCCATCCCTCCGCTCCTCCGCTGCTGAGGCTTACATTAGCGTGAAACCATACTCTTTCACCTAGAACCGTTTCTAAGTACAGGTCAGGACGGCTACTCCTCCTCTGCACTCTGGCCTTAAGTGTTGGTTCAAAGCAATGCCCCCTTAACTACCCTTTCTAACTACTTGGTAAAAGTAAGGGATGAGGCCCGGCGTAAGCCGTGCGAGGCGACTGGTAAAGAAGGAAATGTGGGATGGAACTGGGTTCTCCATATCGCTACTTTTATAGTAATTTATTTATTTATTTATTTATTTATTTATTTGGTGCACGCTTAGGTGCGCTAACTACAATTCCAAGATCACATTAACTCAACAACCTGCACTCAATTGAGAGAAAGTATGGTTCAGAACAAATGGTAGAAAGATAGAAAGATCTCCAGTCAGGTGCAATATGAAAAGATTGAACGANCACTCTGGCCTTAAGTGTTGGTTCAAAGCAATGCCCCCTTAACTACCCTTTCTAGCTACTTGGTAAAAGTAAGGGATGAGGCCCGGCGTAAGCCGTGCGAGGCGGCTGGTAAAGAAGGAAATGTGGGATGGAACTGGGTTCTCCATATCGCTACTTTTATAGTAATCATAAAGTTTTACGATGGTCAGCCAGACAAACCGACAACCGACACACAAAGTAACTGCTTTATAAATTAGAGAGATTAGGATTATAGAACGAATGATAGCGAAAAACTCCTGCAATGCATAATTTGAGAAGGGCTAATAATAATATGGGAAACTAGATATTTTTGAGGGTGATGTGCATTGCAGCGTAGGCATAGATAATGACAATGGCTGATAACGGTCGATAATGGCTGATAATGAGCATTAAAATATTGGAATCCTCTAGATCACTTCCTCTTGTATTCACAGCGGGGTCTCACTCTCACAGCCTGAGATATAGATGTGACTGGATCGCGATGAGCGATGACAAAAAACCATCACTGCTAATGAAGCTGGTAAGGGATCCTGAAATCCGGAACCTACTTACTCGCTAGTTCCTATCGTATTTACAGTGTAGATGAATCTTTGGCTTGTTCGTAATATAAGACGGTATGGAAAAGTATGTTAAAAAAAGTCAGTAGCGGCAAAAAGGACTGGTTAACGTCAGTGTCGGTCGACGCCTGACGGCTCCATCAGAGGGCAGACATCCTGTCTTCGCGGTTTCTCTCCTGTTCCCTCGACTGCCTGTGGCA